AATAAATAAAAATTTATAAATAAATTTTTTTCTGAAATTATTTTACGAATATTTACAATTACAAATATAAATTTAAAATTTAAAATTAATACAAATAATTCTTTTTTAAGAAATAAAGCAGTATCTCCTATGGAGCGATTGATGAATTTCAAAATTCAGTAGAAGACATACTATTAAACTTTTATTCTATTATTTTCCAATATTTATCCTTCTCTTTACAGGTTATCATATCTTTTATTTTCTATATTACATCTTTATAATGATGAATTACTAAATCTATTAAAATAATTTTCTCGGCCTCCGAAAATTCGCAGCACGTTTACATTGTTTATTACTTATTACGTCTTCTACGTTCATTTTTAATTTAATTTGTAACGTTATGTTCCTTACACGAGTATTCACATAACACGATGCTGCATGTTGCCGTACAATACTGTTAGAACCAATATTGGACCAATCAACGAATGAGATTAATAATTTCTTTAAGTTATGACACATAGGTTATAAGTTTAGCTAAACGTTTGCATTGTAACGTTGGTAGAAACCAATCAACGTCAAATCTAGGTTTAGTTTTAACGAAAATTTGGCTAAACTGGAGATTAAGGCAAAAGTGGTAGAAACGGGCCTAAGGGTGGAATTGCCCAATCGCATCTATCGTCAAACAAAATGACAAATGAGATTGATCAATTTCGATGGACTAATCGACCGATTAAGTTAATCGGAGTTGGTGAAAGAGGCCCTAATGTTAACTGGTAACGTGTAAATGTAGGCAGTGTAGGCAGTCGGCAGGGTTGCCAACGGCATTAAGAAACATCACCTGAGTGTATCCAGATATTGTTTTATCCTTGTCCAACATTCAATGAGTAACAGGAATGAAATGATATCAAAATATATCTTGAATTTCCGAATCCGCCCCTACGTTTCGAAGAACGATCGATCTCTTATTAAATGAATCCATCTATCTTAAAATAGGATACTGGCGAATCGATTAAAAGATCGATCTTTTTTGCAAAAAGATCGATCTGTTAAAAGATCGGATCGAGATCGCACATCCCTAGTATACGTTATCATTTGTAATTAAACTGCGGCGACAACGTAACACGCAATAATACGCGAGTGGTGTTGAATTGTGTTTCATTCCGTGTTTATCATGTGTTTATACTTCTTCATCAGTATTGATCAGTGCACAATGGATCCGAAATTTATTAATAATACTCTTGAAAATCAAATGTGAAATTAGGGCATTTTTGAGAGTGAGAACGCTGTAATTCTATCGTAAGCACTATAGCTTCTTCTTTATTATAAAATATAATATCAAATAAATTGTACGTTTCGACTCTTTTTTGAGTCTTCTTCAGCTTGTATTTCGGAGAAGGTGATTACAAAAAATATCCATTGTTCTACTCATTTCGCTGAAGAAGACTCAAAAAAGAGTCGAAACGTACAATTTATTTGATATTATATATTTTATAATAAAGAAGAAGCCATAGTGCTTACGCTAGAATTACAGCGTTCTTACTCCCAAATGCCCTAATTTCACATATATAAATATATATTTGTATATATTTTTATTTTAGTTATTATACATAATAAAACATTAAACATATAATGTCTGTGTTTTTGCTCGTAAAAACCTTTACTTATTTTTATCACAAAAACGATTCTGAATCGAGAATAATGTAAGATTCCTAATATTATACAAAATCTTTTTGTAAGAATGAAATAAGATTTCTTTCAAATCGGTCTTTTGGATGAAGTTAAGAATATTATAATATTGTGCTGCAAATTTTAATCTAAATCTTTCCGAGAAAATTTATAGGATAGTCTAAAGGTCGTTTTATTCTAGAGTTAAGAATTTTTCATTTAAGACTAAAATATTCTTTTCTCAACGATAAATGTGATTGTCACTATGTCGATCTTATTTTATGATAGATCGAGGAGTAATAGCATTGAATGCAGAAATCT